TTAGAAATCTGTTAAAGAGACCTACAACGTTGGTCTTTTGAGTTTTTCCAGATTCTAATTGATAAGGGGTATAAATGAAATATTTTAAGACTCACTCAATATCGGATGGGGGTCAATGCGCGACGGCGTGGGGCTCGGTTGCTGCTGGATTTAGAATTGTGAGATTAGGGTTTGGATTGAATTGAGATTAGAGCTCTGATACCATGATAATTGAGGAGGACTTATTAAGCAAAAGGCATCATGTACTCCTTCATTTGCAATGAATATATACAATTTATATTGTACAAATATGGTAAGGAATAATATAATTGTTCCAGCATATTCTCTATCTTATAAAGGTATATAATCTCCATATAATCTCCCAATATATTCGTAATAATCTCCTAATATATTCATAACACCTAAAACATGAACAAAACCGTTGGTGGATTGTTACACATAGAAGGGTTAAAAATTCCAAAATTGACTTTCTAACAACCCGTTAAGGGTGTAGATTTTCCATTCATGAATTTCGAACCTAATGATGTGTTTGGGAATCCTTATAAAACTGGATGAGGATCAAACCTGATATGATTTTGTCCTAAATTAGTTCTTTTGTAAACCAAAGGGTTCGGTTTATTTGTAAATCAAAAGGTTTGATTTACAAAAGAACTAGTTTAGAAGCCATTTTCTAACATAAGGAAAATTATGCTAACTTTCACTAGGGGTGTCCAAACGGGCAGGCCCAGCCCGGCCTGGCCCAAAAAACCAGGCTCGAGTCGGGCAGAACCGGGGCCCGAACTTGGGCCCAACGGGCACCGGGATGGGCTATTTTTTAGGGTTTTTAATTTTTTTTATTTCTTTAAATTTTCAATAACATATAACTAAAATTAAACAAAATTTTAATTAAAAACAATCATATTATTATTTATTAATCACTTAAAATTACATAAATTATAAATACAAAAAATTAAAATGATAAAAATAACTTCTTTATTAATAATTAGTAAATCATTTATAATTATAAATTTATTTTGGAATTCGTCGTATCACAATAGATGAGCACATCCCAACTAGGTTGGTACCTACTCATCTATATCACTATCATTTGACACTGTTTCCAAAATAATTCATTACACATTTTTAGTTAAAAATAGAAATTATAATTTGATGAATATTGTTTACTCTTTATATCTATCTGTAGTCCCAACTCTTCAAATTTATCTTCAATACTAGCTAACTGATCGATGCCTTGCGTTCTCTTCTCGTACCTCCACCAATCTTGTAAGCACATTATCGTATGTACAATATATGAATCTAACGATGTCCTGTGGTCATCGATCAAACATCCTGCTGTGCTAAAGGAGATTCCGGAGCTACCGTGGAAACCTGCACTGTTAGTAAGTCATGAACCATGATGGAAAGTATATGATATGAAAATGTTTCATATACTTTTCACCATTGCAAAAAATCTAAACTATTATTTTAACAAACTAAAGATGCAGTTAAATATTGATCAATTTCAGAAACCTTCGCTGATGATCCAAGTCTAGATCCACCAGTTAGCTCAGCTATCATTGATTCCCTATCAAAACTTACACTTTTGCCCCGACTTGAGCTCATATAAGCAGAAGTTGTAGACTGATGTGTAGTTACACCATATTTAGCTGCATATTCATCATGTAATCTTCAAAAAAAAAATTCTAATAGTATTATGATGAGTAATAAGAGTAATGGTTTGACCATCATCACTATCTATAATCATATTACCATACACGGAATTTAACAAACTTTGAAGGCCAATATCCTTCAAACACGGATCAATAAGAACCCCCAAACCAAAAATAATAGGAATAGACCTAAAATATTTATTAAATTTACTTTCTATTTGAAAAATTATATTTCCAAAATAATTATCCATACGATATTTATTAATTTTTTTGAATATTTAAAACTTGTAAAGCAGCTAAATTAATAGTTGGATAATAACATCCAAATAATAACATTATAACATCATAAAAAACTTGTAACATCTCTTTTAAATTATTTATAACTGTCCATTCATCTTCAGTTATTCCATACATGCTACAGAGCTAAAACTAGAAGTATAAAAAGCAATACAATCATTTATAATTTCTTTATATTCTATTGTTACACTTAACATTGCATAGGTAGAATTCCACCTATGGTCGACATCTTTCGGAATTAGTCTGGGTTTTAAATTTTTTATTTTACAGAATTGTTTCTATCTTTTAATTCTTTGTTCAGAATATTATGAGCATAAGCTACTGACCTAACCTTTTCTATCATGAGTTTAAGTTCACCAAATGCACTTTGAACAATTAAATTTAAAATATGATAGACACATCTAATATTAAAAAGATCACCATGATATGGTAATATCAGAGATGTTTTGATATAATCAATAGCTACATTATTTTTACTTGCATTATCTAGTAAAAGAGAAAATATTCATTCTGAAATTTTTAATTTTATAAGTTCTTCAATTATTAAATTGGTAATATTAATATCAGTATGTGACTCTTCAAATACAACAAAAAAATAATTCTTTTAAATATTTGCCAATTATCATCAATCCAGTGTGCTCTGATACATAAATAACCAGTTTGTGCTTTAGATGTCCAAATATCAAAAGTTAAAGAAAATTTACAGTTTAAACTTTAAAAATAAGAAATTGTTTTTGTTTGTTCCTCCTGATGATATTTTAAAATATCACGTTGACAAGTTTGATGAGAATTTTTTTTAATGTGGGATAAAATCCATCTGTAAATAAATCTTTAAATTCATCATCTTCTACTAATTTAAAAGGAAGATTTTTAAGAATGATAAACTTGATGACGCATTTCTTGGCTCAGACTGCGTCATAATTCCAACTACCGAGACTACCAGAAGATGAGGATTGGGAGAGTAAAGATTGTTGGATATCACCTAGAAGCGTTTGACCTTTGTTGTGTTTATCTAAATGGCTTTTGAGGTGGTCGGTGCCACTCTTATGATGAGCTTGAAAAATCTGACCGCACAATGCACACTTAGCTTTCTGAGTGAGAAGCCTATCGTGTTCATCCTTGGTGACGTCTATCTTGTCGAAAAAATCCCACACATCGGATCTCGGCCTTTTAGGAGCTCTTGGTGTAGAATTGTCGCCACCGGAGTCAGGATCAACATCGGTAGGAGTAGGAGGAGTAGCTGTAGGTCCTATAGTAGGACTCATTTCAAGATCGGGAGTTGGGTTTTGTCCTTCATAATCAGAGGAGGAAACCATTTGACTGAAGAATTATAGAGGAAAAGAGAGTATTAGAGAGTATAAGAGAATATCAGAGAGTATGGGAGAGTATTAGAGAGAAGTAGATGAGAAAACCAAATGAAAACACCCTCTATTTATAGAGCCAGTCCCCTAGACAAATGACCAAAATACCTTTAAATTTTGATCGTTTTTAGGGTATTTTGGTCAAAAGGCAAAAAATGTTCGTTTTTGACCATTACGATAGGGCCCGGCCCGTCCGGCCACAACGGTCACATTTGTGACCGTTGTGGTTGGTCCGACTCGGAACCCGACCCGGTTTTAACCCCCAACGGTCACCTTAGGTGACAGTTTTGACCAGCCCAACCGTTCATCGGGCCGGGCCGGGCCCGAGCCACAGTCCCATTTGGACATCCCTAACTCTCACCCAACTTTTGCCAAACACTTATCTCCCCACTGTACAGAAACTTATGATACGCGTATAATTACCAGATCTAATTGCACTGTCTTCCCATTTAAAAATCTACGATTTCCACCCATTCATCCTCCTCACGATTACGAATATCCAGAAAATTAGCCTGCAGAGGACGAACCCAAATGACGTGTTATTCCACGTGGCACTACATTACTGGTCATACGCGTCATTTGCCGCCATCTCATGAGCTTACTCAGCGTATCTGCACCTCAAAATCTCCTAGGCATGGAAGTTCAATAGATCCCGTGAACCCTCCGGCGCATTGCCCAGACCCTCATTCCATTCAAAACATGACACACAACAAAGCAACAAATTGAACTAGGGTTATTTGCATGTACATCCCTTAAACCATGGGTATTTGCAACAATATCCTTCATATTGTATTTGCATCGCGGTCCTGAAGTTATCAACTTTATGAAAACATAGCCCTAAAAATCAAAAAATCATCAACTTGATGCTAAAAATTTAATTACTTTATTGATAATTTTTAAATTATGATTATAAATTAGCTTCTCAAAGTTGAAGATTATTTGCGATGATGGTATTTTCCATGAAACTAATGATTTGAGGGTCGCTTTGTCATATTGAGAGTTAGAGGGCCCTTCTGTAAATATCCATAAGGTAATGGGTTATTTATGAAAATAATCTAATTGAACTAAGGGGGTGTTTGTTTCACCTTTTTTATGAAATAGGAATTGAATCTCACAGGGGCAAAATTATAAATAAGGGTTTCTTTATGAATCATATTCCTGAGTTTGGTTCACAACAAGATTTCGAAATCTATAAAGTTGAAAAAGTATGGTGATTTTATAGAAATCCAAATCCTAATGATTTAGAATGATTTGGGGCAAAAAGCTGACACACCCGTACTATTCTTCCTCTGTTTTTGGATTCCGTTTCTTCACAAACCCTATATTATTATGAGACTGAATCATATTCTTATTCCAAATCAAACTAAAGAATAGGAATTGGAGAATTTCTATAAAGTTGGATTCTATTTTTTCATGTTATGAAACAAATATAGAAAGAGAAAAAAAATATTCAATGAATCCATAATCTTGTCTTAATTTTTTTTTGGATTTGATAGGAATCCATAAAAAAATCGGATTCCTAATCATATTCTTGTTCACTATTGAACTAAACACCCCCTAAATATCCCTTAAAAAAGGGAAAAGACACTTGGCATGCTGTTTCGTGTTTCGCAAACTCAGTGGATCTTCAACCCACCGTACCGCACGAGCTTGACTCCTTCCCTATATATAGGGTCGGTGGCGTCTTCAACCGTCGGATACAACTCGAAACACTCGGAGCTCTGAGTTACTCTCTAATGGCGGCGAAATCTAGGGCTTGGTTCTGTTCCATTTTTATCGCTCTTTTCGTTGTCTCGTCGATTTCTTCGGTGACAGCAGGAGATGAGGGGGAGTCGAAGGACGAGCCGTCTTCGGTTCTCACGCTCGACGCCTCCAATTTCGATGAGGCGATCGCTAAGCATCCGTTCATCGTCGTCGAGTTTTACGCTCCTTGGTAAAATTTTCTACCTGGATTTTGTAGTTTAGATCTGGCTTTTTTTTTGTGTGTGATTAAGTTGAACTGGATCTAATTTGTACAGATGATTATGTTCGGTTGGATTTGATGAACTTCAGTTCTTGGTTAGGGTTTTAGTCAATGCTGATTTGATCAGTCAGAGCTCTTCTTGATCATCCTAAGACTCGATAAAAAGTTTAAAATTTTAAAAGAAATTTACATCATTAGATGGTAAAAGGTAGTGTAAGCATTGGTCGCACTTGGATTTAGTGCTGAAAAAAGAAAGAATAAAAATTTATGTTAGTTTATAGTCAATTACAAAGATTATGTATATATATATTGGAAAAAATAGTTTATTTCTCTGTACCAATAGTTGGAAGTTCTTTTGCCATAATATCTACATCCTATCTAGCCTGTATATAGATGATGTCTCTTTCCAATCATTTGAATCATATATGATTAAAATTTTTGATTTTCGGACTATAGTTTTTACCTGACTCCTGATAGCATCTGATTTCACGTTGTAAGTTTCTTTGTTTGCCGCATGGTGTTGTTGTTCCGGAGGATGCCCAATTGCCGAACATGCAATGAACATGCAATGAACATATATGATTCAAATGATTGGAAAGAGACATCATCTATATACAGGCTAGATAGGATGTAGATATTATGGCAAAAGAACTTCTGTTTACAGTTTACAATTCTATAATAGTTTGTTTCTCTTTCCGCTGTGGTGCAGAGCGACTACTATGTCTTCTCTTTTCTTTAAAAAAGAATACTATACCCTCCTAATGGGCCACAATGTAGACATGGATCTGATAGAACTAGTTCTGTACATTGAACAGAGAATACTCTGGGATTTTCATTAGTATTATTAGGCCAACATTTTGGATTTAATTTCTTTTGCTAAAACGATCTTTATTTTTGTTTCAAGATGCTGTGGTTATCAGAACTAGCCCTTTTGAAAAATATGTATTACTGTCAAAATTGAGCTCTTTCCTGTTTAAAGATGATAATTTTGTAATGCCTTCAGTTTATGTCCGTTGGTCTTTCATCCTTTGGGTCTTCATTCCATACCAATTGTTGGCATAATTTATGTGTCTTTTGCTGCTCAAGGAATCGGTGCTCTATTTAAGTCCCCATTTATTATATTTGATCGTTTGCTTATCTACTCTTTTTATATTTGGAAGTTATATCACAAACACTTGTAATTTTTTTTTGTAGTTTACAAATCTCATGCTAATTTTCTTTGTGAATCACAAATTCCTTAATTAATTTGGTAGCCTAGTATGAGATACTTATAACACTTATCTAGATGCATCTTTTTTCTCTTTGAGATCTGAGAGCTTATGCATTGTTTCTGCATTTTTTGTTCGGATAGCGAACATGAGCATTGAATAAAGACTTCTAAATTTCATATGAATATATGATGATGCCTTATCTTGTTTGTTATATATGTAGTGATGTACATATAAGCACACACCCATGCACCCAACAAGATATTATTGGAGCTTTGAACAACAGTTGAGGATGGCATTTATGGACGTCATGATTATCTAGCTTTGTTAGTGACATTTATTAATGTAAAAAAATTGATGATGACAAATTTGCATTTTTGTTTCATGAATTACCTACCAATGACGTTGCACAATTCTGTTGATATACCTATAATGTGAGTGAACAACCACATTTCAATTACTAACTATTATTGAATTCTTGATTTGACAGGTGTGGCCACTGTACAAAGCTGGCTCCAGAGGTAATATTTTTAATAAAACCAGTTGCAGTAGCTGTAATTCCAGTGGCATATTTGAATTCATAGTGGCACATGCTAATTGCCTTTATTTATTGTTTGAATTCTCAACCTTTTAGCATCTTTTTGCTTGTAGTATGAAAAGGCTGCATCATTGCTGAGTAAGCATGACCCTCCAATCATTCTTGCTAAAGTTGATGCCAATGAGAATGTCAATAAAGAGCTTGCCTCTAAGTATGAGGTGAAAGGCTTCCCCACACTTAAGATCTTTAGAAATGAAGGAAAGAACGTCCAAGATTATAAAGGTCCTAGGGAGGCTGATGGCATAGTTGAGTACTTGAAGAAACAAGTTGGTCCTGCTTCTGCTGAGATTAAATCGTCAGAGGATGCTGCTAATGTCATCACTGAGAAGAAAGTTATTATTGTAAGTTCTCCTTTTGTATCTCCCTCCCTCTATAATTTCCTCATTAGCTTATCTCCCAACTCATGGTCATATTAAATGTTATCATAGGTGGGGGTGTTCCCTGAATTTTCTGGTGAGGAGTTTGAGAACTTCATCACAGTAGCAGAGAAATTGCGTTCTGATTATGACTTTAGTCATGTGTCTGATGCTAAGCTCCTTCCTCGTGGAGATTCATTAGTCAAGGGACCCATAGTTAGACTATTCAAGCCATTTGACGAACTTTTTGTTGATTCCCAGGTACTATTACTCCTTTCCTTTCTCATAGTTCTGTTCTTATTCACAATCTGGCAGATGTTTATGCACTGCAAATGACATAAAAAGATCTGCATGTGCGGCAAGCATACTTATATATTCCTTCAGGAAAGAGCTCTCTTATGTGATTCATGACCTAACTACATACTATGTATGTTTTTGCAGGAATTTAAGGTTGAAGCTTTAGAAAAATTCATTGAAGTTGCTAGCGTTCCTATTGTCACTACCTTTAACAAGGATCCAGCCAACCACCCTTTTGTCATTAAATTCTTTAACAGCAATAATGCCAAAGTAAGATTCAAAATTTCCCATTTCTTGTACCATTCATATCTATATGTAATATCTGTTACAGTAGATCACCACATTTTTAGAAACCAGCGGCTCCGGCAGTTAAAATAGAATTTACATGAATGCATAAATAGGATTTTTTATGTAAAACACAATACCATTCTCCATGGTCACCTAATATGGTATTCTCATTGAAAGCAGAGGTTTTTGAAGTTCCTTAACAAGCTTTTCAATGAACTGCTGCCATGCCTCCGGAGCAACGTCCCCTTCAGTTTCATTTCCCATTCTGATGTTACACCTGCACAGGAAATTTGGTTTGCCAACACTCCTCCCCGTTCTAAATAAATAAATAAACCAATCTAAGGAAAGCCACTGTCTTCAGAGATACCGTTTGACCAAGTGTACTTGTTGGTCAGCCCCTTTTTTGTATGGTCTAACCCGCTGAAAAGATTTGTTTAACCCCTCTTGATATTGGCTAGGCTTACTGAAAGTCTGCAGGGGTTTTAGTGGGTATCCGACTCCAAGTAGGCGTACCAAACAAAAATTGGCCCTGCTATTCTGCATTTTATTTGTTTAGACTGATCATCTTCATTTATCTCTTCTTCGATCAATATAAGGAGACTATGTTGTGTGACTGGCATCTGGTTTAAGTAGAAAAAATAAGATTTCAGCTTCTGAAAATAATACGCTGTGTAAGTTTTGGATGTCATGTAATTGAGGTGTGTTCTATTGTGGTAGCCGGGAAGGACGAGAAGTTATTATCATCATGATAATCTGATTTTGGACTGCATGTGATGTTTTCTCTCTTTACAGCATGTTCTGATCTTGATTCCTTTTGTGGATAGGCTATGTTTTTCCTGAATTTCAGCAGTGAACAATTTGATGCCTTCAAGTCTAAGTATCATGAGGTGGCCTCAACCTTCAAAGGAAAGGGTATAAGCTTTCTGATTGGCGACCTTGATGCCAGTCAAGGTGCTTTTCAGGTAGTTAGCATGCACTTATTTTGACTTCTCTATTTTATGAAACATCTAGGTTGTCTCCTTACAAGTTTTACATGTTCAAATAGTATTTCGGCCTTAAAGAAGACCAAGTACCTCTTGTTGTCATACAAGAAAATGATGGGAAGAAATATCTTAAGCCAAACGTGGAACCTGATCAGATATCCACCTGGTTGAAGGAGTACACGGTAATTTGCTTTCTTCTACTGTTCTAATGAGTATTTCTGCCTCTGAAATTTACATATAAGGGATTGACTTCTGGTCTTTTTGACTTATCCATACATCCAGGAGGGCAGCTTAAAACCATTCAGAAAATCAGAGCCAATTCCTGAGGTTAACAATGAACCTGTCAAGGTGGTGGTTGCTGATAACCTGCATGATGTGGTTAACTCAGGGAAAAATGGTTTGTTTTCTTTCTCCCTATTAACATCTCTTAGTCTTTTTAATTACATTGATCTCTCTGTCTCTTCCACCCTTTTATTGCCTTGCTGAAAAAATGAAATGTTTATTTATAGCAACTATGAATTTAATATCTGTATTCTGCTTTTATTATGTTTCTCCTTGATATGTACTTTTATCTACCTGAAAATGTTTGATGTCGGCAAGCAAAAAGTCATCCTGTCTGACACAAACTTAGTGCTTATTAATACATTTTATGCTTTTTGGACCATTGAAATGCAATCACGGGTATAACGTTTGAATGTTTACAAGTTTTACCTAATTCTACGTAACTTATGTATCATCAATTTTAGTCATTTCCACTTTGTTGCACCTTGCCTATTTGTATTGTATCCAGCTTCAAAAGTGAGAGAAAACATGATTAATTTCGAACTGGTCGGCAAGAAATGATAACAAATACTCTCTTACTTTATGAGGTTTTTTTAAAAGATTAGCAAAAGTAGCAATGCATAGATGAAACTATGGAAATAAGCAATGTGCATTCCTCTGATGCTGCTTTCCAAGCCCATAATTGTAGCCTTGTAACTTCTTTTTTCCTCAAAGACATACTCCACAACTAGGATTTATTGGAGCATTTCACTGGGCTGGTCAAAGTCACAGGTGGCAACATTATGCACTGAAGGCATTTTTCCACCATACACGTAGCTTACTGAGAATCAATTGAGTCATTGCCAATGTTCAAAAAAACAGATTAAGTGGCTGCTTATGCAGATATGGACTAGATCTGAACGTGAATAAGAAAAAGCACTTAATTATGCAAGTAAGCGCTCGGATGAACTGTTATGCAGGTGTTTTTTCTTTTTAGTTATTCGGGTAGATCCAATAGTTACCGCCCACCCGCATAACTAGGTATAACAAAAGTACTAACACTAATTTCCCCCCAAAAACCTTAATCTATCTCTCTTTCCCCTGTGATTCCCAAATCCTTCAACCTCGCCGACACTCGCCAACGTTCATTGACCATCGTTGACGTTCGCTGACACTCGCCTAAGCTCCATCTTCCTTTGCTGATGTTCACCTTTCCTCGCTGAAGCTCCACCTTCCCTCGCCGACCATCGCCAATGTTTGCCGACCTTCCTCGACGCTTGCTGACATAGTACTTAAGAATTAGAGTATAGTTTTCGTGAATTTTATATATTTAAAATTTTTAATATATGATAAATAATAAATATATGTCAAAAAATTAAAAAATGTGTAATTCTGCACAATCCGATTAATTAGCACAAAATTTGATTAATCATTACTTGCTTCTGACCCCGCACACATACTAAAACTGTGTTGTTGAACATTGATCGTCATCTTACTGTCTGGTTTACTCAACATTTGGACTTGGCTTGTCAAAGCTAACAAGGACCATTTAAGTCATCATAAAATGCTAAGTAATTAATATAGAATGCTCTTAAGCAAGATAAATTCGCTTATGTGTGATAAATCAGTTATGTGGTCACTGATTTAAAATAGTTGATAATGTTATTGTCACAAGATTATAACTGTTAAATATTCTTTTTGACAGCAGTCATCTATCCTGCTATTGTGATATTTGGTAGTGTTTGATGTCTTGAGCTCGCTTTGAACAAAGTAATATTCAATGTGGGAACTATTACTAGGAGATTTTACTATAAATTGGAGAAAGGGAAACTTATGGACCGGAGGAAATATGAAAATGCTTGTCAAGATTAATAACATCTAATCCTTTCTTCAATTTGACTTTTACTCAAGACTAATTGATATATCTAGATGGTTACTTCTTTGTTAGATAGGTAACGTCCCTTTTGATTGTGTTCCAGAAAGAAACTTAAACAGCATTCTACAGCTAAAAAGGTGATCTGTTATAAGTTTACAAGATCCTATAAGTGTGGAGCATGTCCTCGCTTTCAATTGATTGAATATTGTACTTGATGATAAAAAGCCTTACGCTCTGTTGAGCAAGTCAAGTATCTAGAAGAAGGAAGCAACAAGGATTGATAGGTTAGAAGAGGTATGAGACCAAATATAAAACACTGGAGCTAGAATATGATCAAGTTAGAGTGCTATTGACAAATCACTAGCTATGTCAAAGCTGACAATTGACACATGCTAGTAAATGCCAGCTGCTTTCCGGCCCCATCCCATTTCCATGAAGATGATGGAACAAGTACTCGATTTAATAAGAGAGAGATACAATTTTATCTATAAGTTGTTCCATCATATTTGCTTCCTGTACCACATATCATTATTTGCTTTCTGTTCTGGATGTGTTCTGATTATATTGCTAAATATCCTATTTTTTCTTTTTCTTTTTCTTCTTGTAACAGTTCTACTTGAATTTTATGCGCCTTGGTGCGGACATTGTAAGAAACTAGCACCGATTTTGGATGAAGTAGCCGTCTCATTTGAGAAAGATTCTGATGTGATTATTGCAAAGATGGTAAGTTTCTTTACTATAACTACGAAGCAGTTGATTGTGAAGCTAGTTGACTACTGCATTTTTTGTGCTCTCTCTTGTTTGCTAATCTTCTTGTTAGTATATGGCTCTCTAAATTTCCAAGCCTTGTAGCCAAATGGGCAAGATATGATATTTCTCCAAGATTTATAAAAGTTTACGCTTTTCATATTAAAAAAATATTCGTGTGCTCGCCTCTTTATATGGTGGGTGGGTGGGTCTGCGTAAATGCATGGACTGCTTTCTCTTTTCCACCTGTTGTTTAGGAAGGAATGTGGAACAAACTCACTGGTTCATATGTTTGTGTGTGGATAGGTTTCAAGTGGTTGTCTGATTGTGGGTTTATGTGTGCATAGCTTTTGATTTTGTGTAGTGTCATCTCTCATTTTTAATGTTTTCTTCAAGAGAAATTAGTATATGAGGTACTAAGATAAAGCTATGGGGGTGAGGATTGACCTATCTGATTTT